CAAAGTGCTGTAGTGGTCCCCTACCCCCTGGGAATGGCTCTTTTTAAAACAAACAAAAGGCACGTGTGTGGAGGCTTCATGGGGCAAGTATAAAAACGCCAAGAACCGACAGCCTATTGAGGCAAGCGACAGCAATGAAGGCCTTGTAAGACATGGCTTTAAAACACTCATCAAATCCAAATAGCTAGAAACAAGACTGGCTTAATACTGAAAACCTTTGAATTAAGGTGACTTTTTTGCCACTAAGTACTGTAAATATCATAAACCCACAATGCGCAGTACTTTTTTTTATTTAAAACCCATATACCTTCATGTGGCTGAAAGACTTGACACCAAGCAAGCTACATGTCTAGCACACCAGACCACATGATGGAGGACAGGCCATAATGCTGCACGGTGGCCAAGACATGCATGTACAAGCACACTTGGATTACTTAACATGATTCCCCAGGTCATAGTTTGTAGGTAACAGCCCATAGTTTGTAGGTAACAGCCCAAATAAAAAGGCTTACTTCTCTTAAAATAAATGAAATATTTTTAATACTTTTCCTGTGTAACTTTATAGTCCTCTAATTAATCCTCCCAAGAGACTTAAGGAGGAGGGAAAAAATAAAAAACCCCAAGAAATTAAGTAGGAATCCTACGGCTATCTTGGAAGAAAGTAGAAAACGATTAGATGATAATTTATAGCATGTAAGGACTGGACACAGTGTGGATGCAATTTCCATGCAAAAACATCTACTGACCCCCTATAGTACTAAACAACATTAAGACTCCTTAAAATGTACTTGCCATATAGCATTGTTATGAATGACTCTTAAAAATACTCTTTTATTTCCTTTCAAATTCCAGAACCATTCAAAGCATTATTTTACAATTAATAAAACACCTTCCTAACATTATTTTTTTAATTATCTAATTTATTTTTGGTGAAAAGGTGCTTAAAAAGTTGGACTGTATGTGACTTTAGCACCTGGAAAGCATTACAATTATCAGTAGTTTAGGAGTAGAATTTGTGCCACAAGGCAGCTGGTATAACTCTGTATCAACTTTTAGGAGCTGTCCTAGCTTAATCACTCAAAAAGCCCTTCTCTTTTCAATTTGAAAGGTATCAAAGTGCAAAAGCAAGTTGGAGACAGGTACTTATTTTGTTGCTATTTCAACCATGGGGGAAAAATAAATAGTCTTTTTCATCAAGCGAAAGCAAACAGAGAAGAAAGGATCTAGAGAAGGGGACAACGGAAGTCTCAAATGAGCAAATACAACTTCTGGAGATTTTGAAAAACAGCCAGAAGCGAAAATTTAAAGCCAAAAGAAAACGTTCTGTTCTGAAAATTCCCATGGAAAATTTGAAATATTTCTTACAAAACAGTTCTTCCTGTAACACTTAATTTTCCTTTAATTTTTATTTTTAGGAAGTTCATTACGTTTTGGCAGGAAAAAAGTCAGGAATAACACAATGGCTCTACAAATGGAGAAAATGAGAAGAGAAAAAGGGCAGCTACATATGCTCAAGAACAAAGGAAAGAAGAATATGTTACTCCTCAAAGAAGAGAAAGTTGCAAGGACTAATTGAAACTATAGGTTGAAACTAACTATTGAAACAATAAGGTGAAACAGAGAAATTTAGGTCATAGTGACAAATAGATGTTGTTGTACTTGTATGACTTCTGTGGCCCATTCCTCTTTCCAGACAGGACTGCTCAGCAAGTATTTCAGCTGCATTCTGTGCTGGTTCCCTAAGGTGCCAACAGATTTATTATCTCCTGGCAAAATGACCATATTTTGTATATTCAAGAAAATCTACTCACTGCTGAGGCAGAAATACAAGTAGAATGGTTCAGAGAAAACCCTACATCATCTGTGCACGCCTTAGTGAACAGCATAGTCTTAAATATGATTAAACTTTATTTTGGCACAGTATCAACCTGACTATTGTTATTCAGCCTCGCACACTTCTTTTTTGAACTCTTACACTTCACCTGAAAGTAAACAACATAATTTAATTTACGATACTTGGCAAAATGTTTTTTGGTAGAAGAACATAAAAGTCTCACAATTCTGCAGAGATACACCCCCACCTCTCATTTGTTTCCCTCTTCATTGTTTGTACGGCTACGGTAGAAACTTATGAAATTTTCTCCTATTAATTTTCTAGGCCATCTGCCAAATAATGGCTTTGGCATTTTGAATAGAGGTGAACTCACAATGTTTTTTAATTCAACAAATACAACTCGTAGTATGCCAGTTTGCATTATATGCCAACAAGCCAACGCTAGAACCGATGTTAGTTAACTGCTGCTGCAATGCTATTGCAAATAACAACTTCCTTGTGTCTCACTTAAAAGGCATGCCCTGCCATTTAAAGTCTCTTTGAGCAAGTGTTTGCAGTTCTACAAAGATTTAGGCACTTGCTTCTGCATTATCTGATAAATGCTGCACCAGAGTACTTGTTAACTGAATTCATCAAATATCCCTGAAGCCAAAGGATTCATGCTATATAAAAGCTAAACATGAAATAAGCATTTGCAAGATGAGGTATTACTATAATAACTTAGAGAAGCCAGGAGTCAAACTAGACAAGAGAACACAGTGCTTTTCCTCCTTAAACTGGAAGAGTTGAAAAATTAAAATTTGAACCCCCAAAACTTTTAAAGCAAATTATTCTACTCACCCATGGCAGTGCTGTAGGCATTTGGAAAGCTTTTGTCTATTCTCTGTCTCATGAAGACCCAGCTGTTGTTCTCAAACTTGCATTCTATAATTTTATTATCGTACTGTTTCAGTTCTTTTGTCACCTGTTTGAAAAAAAATTGCTTGGGATAAACATATTTTAATTCACACTTTTTCTTTTTTTTAGGGATAAATAATAGAAGATCAAAAGCTGCCTTGCATTTTTTTGGTAACATGCCTCCATCCTACAGAGAAAAACTCTGCAGACTACATCTCCATTATACATATGCTCAGCTACTCAACATTTTAAAAATACTTTTCAAATCTGCTGTCAATATACAGCAATTATATTATGCTAAAACATCAGCAGCTCTAACAGAGGGGGAAAAAAGTCACTTCTGGCCCAAATGCAAATAGGTTTCCATGGGAATAAACTGCTTCCAGCGTAAGTGCTACTGCCAGCCTAAGTGCACGAAATGTATTATCCATGTTTCATCAACCTTCTTTGTCGAAGGTCTCAAAGCCAAATGTCAGATTTCAATACCAGAAAGACCTTATGGAAAATCATTCCACTCTTCTTCACACTACTGAGGATTTTTATTTTCTTTTCTTTTTTTTTTCATTTTTTTCATTTTTTTCATTTGTCTTTAAAAATTAAGATTGTAACTCCAAAATAACACGGGATTTCAAATCACATATGTTCTAAATCTCCTTCAGGCCTCTCTCTATTGATTCATAGATTTGTTAGCAGCCCATATCCTAAGCTATTTGTCTTTCTATTTGGCAACGCTGTGTGGTTTGGAAATGTAGTTTATATGCATCGGACTTCCTAGTTGTTTTGGCTACTTCATCCTATGCATCCTAATCTATGATACAATGCAAAATTTTCAAGTAACCATGGTAACACGAGAACCTTATCTAACGCTTTAACAATTTTACCCATATACTTCACTTTGTTCCAAAGGGCCTCTTCAGAAGCATAAAGCTGTATTTAACTGCTAGCTCTGTTTAGTTTGCTATAGTTTACCAACGAAAAGCTGTACAAGGTAATATAACACTTTGGATCCAGGATCTTATGCATAAGCGCTCTCACAAAAACAGACTGGTTACTGCAATTCATTAGCATAATTTTCCACCTCTGTTGCCTACTTGCTCCTGAGAGGTGACACGGGAATTTACTACTGTCAGAGGGATGCAGATTTGAAAAAGGCCATAACTGTCTCCAGACAGTTTAATAGCACATACAGTGGAAAAGCCCATGAACCTCCTTTCCATTAATTCCCAGATAAAGGCAATTAATTCATGAACTGGGCATGGACTGAGTGCTCCTATATTGCGTGGTACAAGATTTATCCTTAATTTTGATAAGCAGAATCTTAACATTTTTCTTGGTATTTACCCTGAATAGTTGTGTTCATTCCTAGATAGGGAGCCCTGGGATTTTACTTGTCAAGTGAACATGGCATTGTAAGACAATTTTGTTAAACCTGATTACAACTGAGGACTGTCCTGCTGCAGGACTGACAGAGTCAGAGTCAGGTTTCCGTGTCACACATCATTCCTTCATCCATTCAATCACCTGCAAAGAGCTTTCTTCCTAAAATCATTTAATCCTTAAGTGACGTTTGCGTTTGCTGACGATCAATTGGATGTAATCAACTGATTGCCCAGATCAGCAATCTTTTCCTTTGCAGCATGCTCTGCACGGCACATCCTTCCACACTGAAAAGCTGTATATACGCGTACCGACCCACATTTGTGGATGTATTCATGTTCCATTAGGTGTATGCACGAGAACACAACATCCTTCTCTAGCACACTATGGATACATAAACCCAGGAAGAAACTCTTGGCTGTGCAGCGCCTTGGGAAGGTACATTACTCTGAAAACAGCTGCCTAGTGGAAGCGGGGGCAGCAGGGGGTATGACCGTGTGTCTGATTTTCTGCCAAAGCAGGGAAATTTTAGAAGGATCACCTGCTACACAAAGAAATGTAGTATAAAACTGCAGGCAATGACTTCAACCAACCAACCATCTTGTAAGGCGTTCTCATGGTTTATCATTCTTCTAGTGTTCAGATGCTCAGAATAGCAATAATTTAGATGGCAGCTTTATCTGACTGTGGCAATTAAGCAGTATTATTAACTATCTAGATACTTGCTTGGCCATTTATTAGCAATCTGGAAGACAGATCTTTCCACAAAATATGAACACCTGCCAAAGTACTGACTTAAATGAATTTTCCCGATAGAACACTGGTGATCATAGTCTTTAACAACTGCAAGTTGTAGTAATTATTTTACAAAGGAAGAAATACAGCACCTACTCTTCCCTGCACTTTGTTGAGTAACCTCAGTCTTGTAAATGTACTTATTGTAATACTAATGAACATTTAAAGAACTGCTGGGCATTTGACCAACACTACAAGTACTCTGAGCAAAATACACTTTTCAACATTAAAAATACTCTTCTACTATCCCATCTTAGTAGACTTCTAAATGGGTATTTTTTTATGCACAGGACTGAACAAGCCCATAGCAATCCCTGTATCCATAAGTCACACCTTACATCTACCTGTCACTTGCATGCTACTTTCTGGTATTCCAGCTTCAAAGTGGGACAGGGAAACCATCAAATTTAACTGTCTTGAATTTCCTTCCCTTTGGGAATTCATTCTGAGCTGCTCAGAGCAGTGTCTTCTTGATTCTCCCTTTGCAGTATGGGGTTCATCCCTCCTTCTCCCCCTTAAGTATTGCAGTCCATAGGAGCATCTGAATAATGCACCATCATTTCTCTTCCTGAGAGGTACTTCTTCTAGCTAATGTTTCACAGAAACGGGAGAAGTGTCTTAGGAATGATGGCAGTTCTCAGCCAAAATGCTTATCCTCATCAGCAGCAATGCTTTTGCTACAGTGCCAATGCCTCTGCCATGCTGTTGATAAACCGCCTTGAACTGGCATTCAGCAATTTCAAGACGGAAACTCCCACCACACTAAGGACTCCGTGGAGCCTCCCTTAATTAAATATTTATTGCCTAGCCTATTTTTGGACAGCCAGTCAGAACCAGAAGCCTAGAGGATCACGTCTCAGACATGGGGCTGTCAGAGGTGGTGTGCATCAGAACAGCCTGGTGTGGGCCACAACTGTGTCCTGGTCAAGGACAAACACCAACCTGTACACTACTTTCCTTTCAAGAGGAAAGAGATTCTTCCCCAGCAGGAACACTCACTGCTCCTGACTGCATTCAATTTCGTTATCAAGAACTAGACCATCTGCCCCACAGAAATCACCTCCCAAAAATATAGATAAGCTTCCTCCTGGAAGCTGATTCACTGCATTACTGCTAGATTGGCAAGATGTGATCAGAAAAAAGTGGGCAAAAGCTACATCCCCATTTCAGCAATAATAGCTCATTATCAAATCAGACTGGATGTAACACAAGACCATTGCCTACGAATGTCAGATTACATGATGACGACAGTTATCTTCCTCTCCCTGCTGAGAAAGGCTTCCCAATGCCACCAACATCTGGGCTATTCACTCGGGAAAACTTTGGTCGGGTAAGTTTATTCCTTTTTCTAAGAATGATGACAGTTACAATTTAGGAAATCTCCCATTTTCCAGTCTCCTCCCGTCCCCTATGTTCTGAAAGAAATTCAAAATATATTAGAAAAGTGAAATATCTAACCCATCTCAAATTACCTTGCCTGGCACAATAATGAAGTCATTTTGAGACGAATCACAAATGTGTTTATATGCAGCCATATTTTATGTTAATTTAGAGCAAAATGTGAAAAAACACTATATCCAGCTGAAAAAGAGAAACCATTTACATCGAATGTAGTTAGCTCTAGTCCTGTGAACATGCCTGCATGATCTCTGCTGACTACCAACGGCCAAGGCTTTTCAGGTATCTCCACAGTGCACTTGATCATCAGACTGGTCCATCTGTCCACCTGTTGAGTCACTCTTTCATTTACTTGAAGCATACAAATCTTCTGTGAAGACTCACTAAGACATTAAAAGGGGCCCACAGGAAAGATGGGCAAGGACTTTTTACAAGGGCATGCAGTGACAGTACGAGGGGTAATGGTTTCAAACTGGAAGGAGGTAGATTTAGATTAGATATTAGGAAGAAATTTTTCACTATGAGGGTGGTGAGGCACTGGCACAGGTTGCTCAGAGAAGCTGTGGCTGCCTCCTCCCTGGCAGTGTTCAAGGCCAGGCTGGATGGGGCTTTGAGCAATCTGGTCTAGTGGAAGATGTCGCTGCCCATGGCAGGGGGGGTAGAACTAGATGGGGTTTTTAAGACACTTTCCCACCCAAACCATTCTGTGATTCTACAATTAGTCTCATCACCCTTAACTCTGAAGGAGAATGAAATTCCTGGGCAAGCCGGTACTTTACAGAAGAGGTATTAACAATGAGATTTTAGGTTTTAAGGTCATCAGAAAGCATGTCTACAATGGACAAGCTTAAGCTTCACAAATGCATCTACCTTTCCCATATTCAAGTTCTTTAGAAAGAAAAAAGGAGGTAAGCTTTTAGATAAATGGAGACGTGACTGAAAGAAGTCCTATGTTTCCACATGCACATTTTTTTCAAAGCAACTGAAATGATTTTAGCTTAGAAAATAATCCCCTTTAAAGAAAGTGATGTTTGTAAACAAAATCTTAACACATTCTATTTCAAATCCTTTCTCTCTTTAAATGCCTTTTTGTTGCACTTTCCCCTCTATTACCAAACATTTATAGAAAGAAACTCATTCTTCAATTCACCTGTTTCTATTGCTTATTCCACATCCCTAGTCATCATCCTATTTCTAAGATCCCAAAAGAAACGATCATAATAGTAGACACAGGAAATGTTAACTTTCATGAGAGAACAAATGAGCAAAACCAGCAGTTGAAGTCTTATGAAACTAAAAAGATCTTTATTTCTAAATACACTTAAAAAAAAGGAACCACAACACACAGGCAAGATAGATTCTAAATGTAATGGCTTTCTATTTTCTAAGAAGAATCTGCCTTTTCTTTTTATAGCTGGCATGTGCAATGACTTTTTGATACGCTCAAGTACACAAACTTTTCTTTTTTTAAACCCAAGTTCCAATACCTGGAGGGGA